CGGCCGGCCGGCCGGCTTCGCGACAGCTGGCTATCGAGACTACCAGGATTTTGTTTGCATCGTGCACGCGCGTTTTACATCCGTGTCACGATTGCCAATACCACCGCAACGTCGACGACAAAGACGGCGGTGGCAACGACATCGGCTAACGCGACGGCGAGCAAAAAGAGGAGGTGATGGACGTCGTTACGCTCGCAATCGGCGTGACTCGATAAGGAGGACGAGCACGCCTTCCTTTGCCGATAAATTCGTGTCATCTCGCTCGCGAAGCTAACACCGTGTATTTCGAGTCACGAAATGACGTGGCGCGTCAAACCGCGCTATTCCGTACGAGGACGCATGGCCGTGCCGGTTAAAATATTTTATTCGATCGAGAAAAAGAACTTACCCGCACAGGTTAGTTTCCTGTTCCTCGGTGGTTTCAACGATTTCCTCGAGCAAAATTCGATCCTCGCCACCAAACACTGACATATCTCGTTAGTCCGCAGCACCGAGAATCCCGCCGCGCGATTCCACGCGTCCCAGCAGCCGTCGTCGTCGCGGCAGCGAAAAAGACGACGGGCTTCTCGCACACTGCACCGAACAAAAAAAACGACGCGCACACCTTCGCGCCTTTCTTGGCCGCGTATTTCCTCGAAACTCGCGATGAATTTTTTTTTTTAATACGGCGATGACACGCACCCGAGATTCGTCCACGGGACAACCACTCCGCGCGGCGCACACACAACGCCCGAACGCGTTTTGTAATGGCGATGTTTGGCGGGAAACAGCTGAGGGCCCCCACAGCGTACCACGAATCACTCCGCCGCCGGCTTCAGGACCGTCGCTATCTAAGGTCCCTTTGGAACCCTCTCGCGTGCACGATTCAGACAAATTTTCTCAAATTTTTCACACTAACTATTTCATTCGATTCGTAACACGATTTATCTTCGTTGCGTATAATCGTACGTTTCAAACACTTTCGACGAATCATAGATGTTCGTTCGATGCAATTATCGTTTAGGAAAATTCTCGAAAATTCACCGTGATAATTACACGAATATCCTCGTGAAACGATGCTACGTTTCAAATTAATCGTTTAACGATCGCGTGCACGTCGTTGAAACCATCACGTGGCCACATGCTTTATTCGCGATGCTTTATACAGTAACACTCGCGCACGACACGATGTTGATAGAATCACACGTACAAATACGGTTGATTAATAAAATTCGTTGTCTCGTCTTTGAATTCCGATGAAACACGATAACTGTATCGTTAGCGGGTACGAAGATGTACGAAGGCTCACGGCGTTGAACGATCGAGAAGCATGTTCGAGGCACTCGCGTTTGAGTTTAGTGAACACGGTTAGGGTGAACGCTACATCGTACTCTGCCCTGGACAATGACTCTCTTTGGACCAATCCTACACCAGCTCATCTTCGGTTTCGCGTTTGGTTTGCACAGTTTCCCGCAGGTAGTTGCACTCGGGCTGCCCGTTGCCTCGCAACAGATCACTGGTATACTTAACCGTTTCCTCGGCGAGCTATTGTTAGAAATATTTAACGCGTTTAGAAGGGACTACTTTCACGTCGCGTAGGTTTACGCTAGAGGAATGGTGCGGCCGCGCGGGAAACATCTGCCAGCTGGCAGAGGCCCCGCCCATAGAATACGCCAGTCTCCCCCACTTCCCCCACCTGCGCCACTCTATACCCGACGTATACACGTTTAAACATCTGTGTATCCATGACCACGCGCACATACACGCAACAACCTTTTATCCTGCTCCTTCTTACCGCTCTACGTTCGTTGTAGGGTACGACTACACTGAATCGAACGAACGCGAACGAGCTCGAGCAAAACGTGTGTTCGTTGGCTGCCGTAGACTGCAAACGACGCTCGCTCAGCGCCGGCCAAATATGCGGGCGATAGCTAAGGGCGCCACTTCGCGACGGCGCCACAACCATCAAATTCTTATTATTTAAATAACATAATTCCAAGCATGATATTTTTGTAATACAAAAGAAATACAAATTTAGAAATTTGAGGATTCGATAATTTGACAAGAAAATTTAACAATCTTAGGATTTGAAAATTCAAAAATTTGAAGAGCTAAGAATACAGAAATTTGAAGATTTAAAGATGAGAACCTTTAGGCTTTTAAAAGGTTGAAAATTTAGCAATTTGATCACTGAAAAATCTAGAAATTTGAGGGTTCGAAAAGTTTAAAGATTAAGCAATTTAAGAATTCGAACTTTTGGAAATTTGGTTGTTTCATTTCCCCAGCGTTTGTAGTTTCATTAAAAATATTAAGAACAGGTGCCAAAAATAATTTTGCACGATATATTTATTGGTGAAGCCGGCCCTACATTTACTATACGACAGAACGCCAGAGAACTCGACGAACATGGACGAGCATTTTCCAGTGCTCGTTCGCGCTCATTCAGCCTAGTGAAGATAGCACCCTCATGCGACACGAAAATTGGCATTAAAAATTCACTATTTCCCTGTAGATACGATACGTCCTAATTGCGTTATCCTGCATATTCCCGAAGGATGTTCTATCAGACAAAAGATAAAAAGTATGTATAGACAACGAAAGCTAAAGTACCGTGTTCCTCGTTAATTTTTCGTTTTTGACGTATCATGATTCTAAACGATCTTATTAAATGTATTCGTTTAGAAATCGATCGATGCGGCGAGTAAACATAAAAAAATAAACACGTAATCGTAGTAAATAATAAAATTACGATATCGTGCCTCACAGTTATTTGTTGTAACAGTTTTTGATAGTTTTAAAATAATGTTTTAAATACCGAAATACTTTTGAACGTTGTACTTGATTTATACACTATAATTTATATGGATTCTTAGTGAAATAGGCTTGAATTTTTCCGTAGAAATCACGAGCTCTTATTTGAATCGATAAATTGTGAAAAGTCGTACAGCTACTGCCATCTGATGGTCAAGAACGGCGGATCGGCAACCGAAATACAAACACTCAAAATGATTTAATGTAAACAATGTACTTCCATCATTATTTGCAAATTTTTTTTTACAATATATGTGAAAAACATTTATTTGAATTGTTTTAATCTTTACTTCTATAAAAGAAACATACGAGTGACGAACTTACAAATAAAAAAAGAGAAGAAATAGGCATTCTCACTTCCAAACCTAGTATTATCGATAAATACTGTTGTTGATTATTTGCGGCATATTTTGTATATTCCGTTACAATGCAAGCTAAAAAAATAACATTTAGAGACTGTATTCATAGTTATTACTTTGTATTGGTAATATATTACACCGTAAAAAATGAAAACTGCATATAATTATAGACGAGAAGAGATAACTATGAATACATGTCGCACTCAATTAAATAAATGAAAAAATTGATATCTCTTATTCTTTCTCGTATTTACGATTGATTCGTTAATCTGACAAACGCTTATTTTTTAACCTAAATTTTAAACTCACAAATTTAAAACACAATCCTTTTCTCAAATCTTAAACACGTTTAACGTATGGAAAAGTATAATCAAGAAATACTTTTGCTAGTGCCTTACAAAATAGCTACATAATCAGCATTTCTTGGCTGATCGTAATACTTTCCCTTAAAAAAAAAAAAAGAAAAAAAAATAAAGAATTGTACAAGTCATCTAAAGTATGATTTCTTAAAAAAATTAAAATTTTTATATTGAATTTCATATTATGTTAAATTTTACATTGGACGTTATTTTATTTTCAACTTAAAAATATTGAATAACACTTAAAAATCCATCCATTATTATTTGCGTTTTTAATTTCTGTTTGATATTGTTTTTTTTTTTTTGTACTCACAGTCACGTGAAGCAAAACCCAAACTTTTAAAGTTTATATCTGTAATACTATTTATAATGCCTCCCAATTTGTACGCAACGAGTAGATTAAGAAAATGTTACTACTTTTTCTTTGATCTGCAGATATAGATATATAATATTCTCCGAATTAATGAATTTTTACATTGCTATGCATAACCGCGCGTCAACATAACGCAAAGAAAAGAATATTTTATTATATAAGTAATCATTAAAATTCTGATATAATAAAATGTAGATGACCAATCAAATTCGCGTTTAACATTTTATGAATTAACTGCTAAACAATTGCAGGTACCAAATCGGTTCGGTACCTAGTGAGATTCAAAAATGTTGAATAAATAAGCAGAGTAACCACGTTACTCCATCGTACTAAAAATAGTATTCAAAGAGTCCGAGACGAATTAGTCTCAGACTTTGCTCGACTGGTTTGATTTACTGTAATGATTATAAAGCTACATATAGATACAATATTTGATATACAAATGCATCAACCACTTTCTAATAGTTACACTTCTTGTACACCGTGGTTACTTTTTCTTCGTATTCTTCAAAAAGATAGCTAAACTTAATACTGTGCTAAATGCTATATTTACAAGATTAGAAGTTGACCATTTCACTCTTTTATTATGTACAGACATGTACTTCTTGGTTACAGTGAAGAGTAAATCAACAAGTTTATTAAAACACGTAAAACTATTTTAGTAATGTGAATTGTATCATTAAGGCAAATGTGATTAGAAACTGTAATGAATTAATACCCAAGAGTTAGTTTGTACTTTATTATTCATGTTACTATATTTTTACTTTTTATTTTAATACGCATTTGTTGATTTACTCCTAAAATATCGTGCTTAAATTACATTTTCAAAATTTTCATTCAGGAAAAAGAACTTTTCAAATGTGGTTCATGCATCTGTAGTCAATGTAGGTGAAAGCATGGATTTACAAATAACGGCGTTCGGAAGAAAATATTACGTCGATAATAAAATAATTTCTCATATTTATAAGTATGTATAAATGCAATATGTATACATGAATTCTCTTAATATTTTTGGTAACAAATTGTATACACTTAGATATTACCATAAAAAGAATTTTGATCATTTCTTATCTGGTGATTAGTATTTATATTTGTTGTATGAAATTAAAAATTAAGTTGGATCAATTCGTTCTGGAACACCTTTATCTACTTTAAAATATCAAAATAATTATTTTATTATCTTTTAGTTTATGGTACACGCGTGTGTTATTATAATAGCATGATTGTTCAAATTATATCCATAATAATCCTAACATCCAAAACGAAATAATCCTTTCATTTAAATAAATGATATTATTTCTCGATTTATAACAAACAATATTTATAACCACAGTGAAGTATGAGTTCTTAATTATTTGCGTCTACGTGCCTTACCTGTAAATCCATGTTTATTTTATGCAATGATGAAACTTATTCATAGTATTAACTATGTACTATTTTTGTTATAATAACTTTTTCAATCCTAATTTCAACCTTTCCTGAGCTGGATTCACTTTGATTTTCAATTGTTGAATTAGATCATATATTTTTAAAGAAGGGCCAACTTTAAAACCTGTAAGGTCGATTATTTGGTCCTTAGTGAGGGTCAACAAAGTCTTCCCGTCTATTTTACGTTTACTAAAGTTATCGCAGTACGTTGCACAATCATTAACACGGAGAAATTGTGCAACATCAAACACATTCCATTCAGATGGCACTAAATCACCAGATTCAGAACTTTTTTGAACACCATCTGCTAACCTTGGGATGTACTTATTAGTGGCAGATGTTACCTAAACAGACATTTCTTTTAAACACTTGTATGCAATATAAATTTCAATTTCTATATAAATGTATTAAAACAAAACTCACATTAACATATGTTGTTGCAGTTCTTTCTTTTGGTGGTGGAGGGTTTTGTATTTCACTTTGGGTATCATTTAATGCTTGACCCTGTCCGGTAGTAGGACTAGGCAAAGTTTGATCAGGACCAGCTGGTTCTTCTGCTGGCTCTGGTTCCCTATTTCTTTGTTCCGGTAAACTTTCTAAGTCGCGTTCTCTCTCAATTTTTATTCCCTGGGCAGGCTCTACTTCTCGTTCACGTTCACGAGCCATGCTAATACGTTCACTGTGACGAGGTAGAATGTTTTTTGCGCAGGAAACTTTACTGCTTTTCTTCAATTTTCGCTTAGCTTTACGTTTAAGGCCTCTTGGTGATTTTACTGAAAAAATATTTGTACAGCGTATCATACTTTAAACATGACGTACGGTGTACTATAAATGTATAAAACGTAGTTATAAAAATATTTACCAGTAGGACTAGTGTTTTTATTGAGTACACGGGGCCCTTCTAGTTTATGATCAACGAGGTCACACCATCCAACTGGATAAATGTCAGGGCTCTGACAATCGAGCCATTGATCATATTCATCTTCCCAACCATCAAAGTGTACTCTTAATAACCTTCCAATTACCCTAGTAATAGTAGCAACACAAACTAATCTAGGATCCATTAAATCAGCAGCTTCTAGCCTCATTCCTTCGATAAATCCATGTTGAGGTATTTCCTGTGTACATAAAACATTCTAGAACAACAATTACAACTAATAGGAAGTAGCGAGTTTCTAAAGACTCATATAAATTACCCTATTAAATAACTGCACTGGAGCAGGTATAGTATTTGTCTCTGTTAAATATGCATCCCACGTAAATGTGGTTGGATCGTATCCCTTTGGTGGTGTAAGTGGTAAGCCATGTTGTGAACAGAAACCAATTGGGAAAATACATGGTGAACATGAATGATAACAAAACCAATCAGCACCACTTGCATCTTCGTCATAACTATCTATACGAATCATTATATAATCCTCTTTTAAAACTTGCATAACTGTTGCTGCACATATGGCAGAGAGATTAAGGGGATCAATGGCTTCTATTTTCATTCCTTCTCGAAATGTGTATCCAAGATGTAAATGATGATTCTTTGGCACATAAAAAAGATCTTCCGTTGCATCGTCTTCGCATAATTTTGATTTCGATACGCGTTCCAAATATTCTGGATATGCATCCAACGTCTGTCCTACCCTCTTGGCCCAACCAACGGGATGTATAAGAGGAGAATCTTCGTGGCACCAAAAGCCATTGTCTTCGGGTGGTGAATCATAGTATCTTACGTGCAAACGTTTACCCACAATTTTCTGTATCGTTGCTACTTTTACCTGCGAGATTCTATTTTTATCTACTACTTCCAAATGAAGTCCACATCTAAAACGCGATTTCATACTATCATTAACTTTATTATAAAAATTAGTTGGCAGCGTTCTTGCTCCTGTCAATCGTCTCATTAGAAAATCCTTCCAGTCTTTGTACTTGTTAGCAATTGCTGTTACAAATGATTACAAAGTAAAGTAAGATGAATGTTTTATGAAGAATTATATGTATTAATAATAAACTTACTATTAGGTGGAATGAGTGGTTTTCCAATAGTTGCACACCAACCTACTGGATGTATATCATTCGAGCACAGAGATACCCAGAAATCTTTGTCGGCATTAAGACCGAAACCTTCGTACCTTAATAAGGCCCTGTACCCCGATATACGTAATACAGTAGCCACCCAAAACGAATCTGGAAAAGCCTCGCATACTTCATCGCAATCTGTATTTTCCACTTCTACTTTCATTCCGACTGTTATATTATCCCATATTTCTGAAATGGGTGCCTGAAACATGAACATTATAATCAAATTCAAAGATCATGATTATGATACTTGTAGTGTTATCATTAGTTGCTATTACTAACATGTTTAAAACAGGATACTGGTGCAGCACAAAATCCAGGTTCAACTAATTGTGGGGTCCAATCATAAGAACCTGCCATATCAGCTGTTCTCTTTCTTCTTACAGGTAAATCTTCTGGCATCACTGGCTCAGATATAACTTTTTCTTTTTCTAGTTCAATTGCTTCTTTCACGTCTGCTTCTTCTTTTATTATGGTCTAAAATATTTTTGAACATATTACATCATTATTTTATAACACATTTTTCAATGTAACTTACATTTTTTATTAATTTCGATTCATTTGGAGAAATTGGGTTTAAAGTTGCAGGTGTTTCCACCGAATGAGATGGACTGTATGTAGAATCAGCAGTAGGAGCAGTATGTTCTGAAGATCTTGCACATGCTCTACTACAGAATCTACGTTCCTTTGTGTAAAATGCATGTTTTACACCAATAGCACCACATTTCTCACAAACCGCTGTCAAAAAGAAAACAAGTTTATAAATTCTGTACTATAAATATATATTCATAATAAGCACTGATATGTTCTTTAATTTACCTATACCATCTTTACGAATAGGAATAAAATTTAAATCTGTATGAGGTTGATACGCGATTGGTGTTTTTAAAACAAGCCCAGGATGTTTTATAGGTTTTATTTTCCTATTACGATTGTCTTGAGTAGTTTGGGTTGCTGCATTGTTTACAACTTGTTCCCTTTCTTCATCGCCCATGTAATCTTCTAATGTTAAATATTCGGTCATTTCTTGTCTTTCAGACTGTGAATCATATTCCTAAAAGAATAATATCGATGATAAATAGAAAAATTAATTTTCATACAATATGATTATTCAGTTTAAAAAATTAAAACTCACTTGTTGTATTTCCTGAGCATCAACAGCTTCCATTGCTTCATCAGGCTCAGAACACTCGTTAGAAAACTGAGGTGGTAGATACCGTACCATAGTAGTAGGCGCAATTTGATGGTTTCTAATATCTTCGTATGGATTTGAGCCATGAGAGAAAAATGGACTTTCTGCTTGACGCGGATCCAACATAAGTTCGTGTGTAGGTTCTCCATGTACCATCATATCTCCCATCCATACCATCCCTAATTCCGGTAATCCAGGGATGGAAGCATACACTGAATTCATACAAATATCCATTCCTATATTCACATAATGATTGCAATATTACTTTTAGACAGCTTTGAATCTACCGATACTTTTTAATTGCAAATAATAAAACGATACAGATAAAGTAGTAAATTTTATCACAAAACAGAATTATTTTATACAAATATACACGTTTTATCTAGATTAAGGCACTCAATTGAGAAACATTCCTGGTTCATACAGGAATATTTATTTAACAAAATATCCACTGCACAAAACATGACAAGAAACTTTTTAAACGAATGCTACTATATTTGAATTCTAGTCTGTATCATATAAAATATAAAAAAAAATTCAATATGATTTATTTCTCAAAGCGACGCCGAAGATTTGAAAATCAACATTTATTCAACCTTTTCCACTAGGAAACATTTTTCAAAAGAAGAAGTTTCTCTTTGAAGATACACCATATCCTGTGGAAAGTATTCAATCCCAAGATCATGAGTTCCGATGCAATTTAACGCGCGAACATATTACATAGCGTAGGAAAACAAGTACGAACCATTAGAAGCTTGCATGTCCATGACAAAGCAGGGCTAGAAAACTTCTGTATATTCAAGTGGTGTACAAGTCGTTACGCCATCTGATATGGTTCATAGTTATTATAAATAGTCCGCGGTATATATAAAATTTTAGAATAATTAATTGCTGTTTAATGATACAAATTGTGCTGCAATTAACATTAACGAAATAGTATATACATGATTTATACAATACATATAAGATTTATATACACATGGTTGATATAATGCACAGTAATTTGAAATTAACATGGGGTTACAAATCATACTTTGCTCTACGAGAGAATCAGTAACTAGACAACGATTTCAGCAGCTTGACAACCTAAGAAATTTTTTAACTATAAGTGTAAGATCTATCTACAGTCTAGTTTTGTATTCGTGGTCATATATGTGGTGTAAAAAAGTAGAGGAACCTCGAAATCCGGTAATTATGTGTTAAATGTTCAGGATAATGGAAGTATTGTATTCAATTTTTTGAATATATTCATAAAACTTATGAATATAACGCAAAAAGAGTGTCACCTATTGAACTAAATATGCTACAATCGGTAAAAATTGTAAATCACGAAATTTTGCGTTCACTGAATATGTACGTTTAGCAATATAATCGTCATGAAAGCACCTACTAGTTACCATAGATTACAAAGTATGTAGAACTAAAAATGAATAATTCATTGGCTACTGTTGTCTACTCAGTGCACTCTCGTGAAATAGATTATAGGTCATTTTTATGCTAAATAAATATTTTTAAAGAATATATTAATTAATAATCTATTACTTTTACGCACCTATTTCCTTCAGTAGATGGTAATAATAGTTAAAAAGCATTTATTTTAAATCAATATTTATTATATGATGGTTGATAATGTCAAATAAATTTGAATTACAAAAAATATTTAATAATGCAATTATCATATTTAATTTATACATGTTCTTTATAATGTTATGACTTGCAAAAAGATTCTTATCACAGTTTGGATTTGTCACTTCCTTGTTCAAGAGCTTTTGTACGTATAATTTTAAGTGTAATTATCTTTATATCTAATTCCAACTGAAATTTATTCTAATTTATTACTAATATCATTTTATTTGTTTTCTACATTTAGGGATTTTATTTTTACAGAATTAGAAACTGATAGCATAATTTGACAAGTGTGTATATGAATCAGAGTATATAAATATGAATCCAGCGCAGAGAGAATCAACAGAAGTAAAGTTTAATGTTCCATGGGGTCATATCGCAGCAAAGATATATGGATCTGCATCAGAATCAAAAATTTTAATGGTACATGGTATTTTAGACAATGCTGGCACATTTGACAGGTTATTAGAACTACTTCCTCGCAAATATCAATATGTGTGTATAGACTTGCCAGGACATGGATTATCATCTCCATTTGCTCCTGGAGTAGCGTTACATTTTTTTGATTATGTACATTCAATAACATATGTTTTGGATGCCTTAAATTGGAAAACCTGTATATACATAGGACACAGTTTTGGAGCTCATATAGGAACATATTTTAGTATTTTATATCCTGGAAGGCTAGAAAAAGTTATAGCACTTGATGGGACTTCACCTATTCCTATTAAAGACCCTGTTTCTCATGTTCAGAGAATGTACAACTTCAATTCTTATGCTAAAGACACAGGAACACTTTATACAAAAGATGAAATATTGTATGCTCTGAAGTTTAGAAGACAAGAGACATTAAAAACAGAAGCTGCAGAAGCATTATTTAAGCGCGCAGTTACAAAGGTCAATGATCTATATAAATATAATCGTGATGTTAGATTAAGACATTTTGTAAGACCAATTTTTACATTTGACCAGCATAAAGAATTTCTTATTAAATTATCAACTCCACTATTATTAATTATGGCTGACAATTCTCATCAATCAATGGCAACATTTAAATTGGTTGAGCAATTTGAAAAGATTTGTGATGAAAATCAATTTACTGTGGTTGTAGTAAAAGGAAATCATGATGTACATAATAATTATCCTGAGAGGGTAGCACCACATATATGTAAATTTTTAAGTAATCAATTGAAGAGTAAATTATAAAATTTTATTTTTAGAAAATTTTTTTAATATAATGCCAAAACATTAATGTATTATGGTAATTGATAAATGTGCATTTATAATGTAATAATAATTGGTGATTAATACTATTATAATAATAAAAGACAGGGGGTATAAAGTACTTAATTTTGTATTATTTATTTTTATTACTAATGGAAAGGATTACTTGTATATATAAAATGTATGTAACAAATGTACAATTTAAATGGATGACAATTATATAAAATACCAAACACCTTTGAAGTTATTTAACTTTTATTTGTATCATACCTTCAGCTTGGTGAACTTTTATACATACTTCATTACCTTGTAAAATAGTATTTTTTAATTCATCTTCTAACAATATTGCTGTATGATTCATAAATGATCCATTCCTTTTCGTATTGTAACTATGATTCAATGTTAATCTAATTTTGTACCAACAAACCAAGGCATTTGGTAATAATTTATTATTAGAAGCACTTATTTTCCCAAAATTTATTACACGTTCTGCAATTTCATTTTCTCTCATTTCTATCATTACATTTACGTCGGATAAAGGTTCGTACAGATACAAACTTGAATTCAAATCAAAAATTTGATTTATCTGTAATATAATGTATAACATTACAAATTTGAAAAATATTGCTCTCTTTATTGCTATATTCTATATTTTACCTTAAATTCATTAATGTACTGTGCAATTCCGTAGCAGCATGTACTATCATAAGTACTATTAAATTTCTGTAGAAAAAGAAAGTATAATTAAATCATTTTTCACTTTATTAATTACATAATATAATACATATTTTTTTAAGCGTACCGTTTCAGAATTCGAATCAAATACAAGTTTTGACATTCCTTCTAAATTTTCGTCTTTGACATATACCATATTTGGTAAGTCCTTTGAAAACACAAGCTGTCCCATAAGAAATATTTGTTCAGGTAACAAAATACCATTTGGTTTAAGCAAGCATCTGTGAAAATGATTATTCTATATTAGAAATAGTTCATACAAACTGCAGATTAAAAATTGAGAATACATTTTAAGTATTTTTACCGAAAAAATTCCTGATTGTGTTCTTCTCCATAATTCTTCATTTCTCCTTTAATATCAAAGTTATGAACAAATATAGTGTCTAAAGAAACTGTAATGTGGTTGTATTTTGATATAATACATAATTTGTCTTTAACACCAATTTGTTCAGCAGTTCGTTCAATAAAACGACGAAGTACCGTGTTTTCAGTTTTATAGTATAAAATTTTACTATGCCTATTTTCTTTTAGTAACATTAATCCGTATATTGGAAAAGGAGAAGTATCCAAAATAGTGTGTATTTCTTTGTTCAGTAGTGATCTACTAACTTCGGTAAGTAATTTAATATATTCAAAATCGTTTAAAAATGTTATAATTTCTTTTGGTAAACGATAAAAGAACGCGTAATTGTTGCAATCATCAAGTTCAAGATTTTGTGACATATACGAACATTTTAATTTTCCTTTCAATATTTCTCCCTTAATCATTATCGCGTCACCTTTGGTTAACAATTTTGGTATAGCCGAAAAAATAGCAAGCTGCCAACAAGAATTTCTTTCTGAAGTATCTATTGTTATATCTTCATCAAGATGTAATTTAAACCAAGTAATCAAACCATCAATACTACCATCACACATACATTTTACATTTATTATGCTTTTCACTCCATCACTATTAAACTTTTGTAAATCTGATAAATCATTAAAATTTATCGTAAAAAGGGCTGCAGGTTCTGTTATGTACTTAAGTTTAATATTTTTTAAATTTTCTGTGTCATAGTATTCCTCGTCTATTAATACAAATATATTATCAAAATTTAAAGAACATGATTCTCTCAGCTTATCAAATATTACAATAGATCTATGTCTTATGTATTCACATTCTACAGCAGCTACATAAAGTGTAGCACTTGTAGGTATCACTATACCATTTTTATCCAAAATATTTGTATGTACACTTATCATGGATGGTATTACATGTTCTCCAAATAAACCAGCATCAAAAGTTTCTGTTACTACTAATTTTACCCTGGAAAAATACATATAAAATTTGATATATAAACAAATATCTGAATAGAGTCTATTTATTTTTAGTGACTAAATTTATTGGCTGATAACTGACCTTTCTGAGATATCAGTGGGAATTGTAAGATTTGAAGAAAGTTTAGATACTAATACTATATCTTTAGCATCATTAGTTTCAAACACCTTTTCAGCAATTTTTAACATTACTGGAGAACAGTCACACGCGTAAATTTTCTTTGCACCTGCATCATGGGCATATAAACTTAATAAACCTGTACCAGTTCCTACATCTAATACAGTATCATATCCTTGAGAAATTTTCTTTCGAATTGCACGTTCAAATGCATTATTTCTTCGTTTGTCATTCAACATGGGAAAATGCCACCTATCTACTGCCATGCTGAGTGCATTTTGTAAATTTCTTTCTGCTGGCAGAAAGTTAGGATTGGTTTCCAAAGCTCTCTTGAAATATTCTATTGCCTTTATCGGATCATTATTCCTTTAACAACATATTTTTTATCCTCATTATATGGAATTTTAGTGGTCATGATATCTGTCATGTTAAAAAACAAATTTTAAATTGACTAATTATAAGTTTTCCTAAGCAACGAATTCAAATTACCTCAAAAGATGAGCTGCAAAATTATGTAACATACGGGCATTTTTTGGAAAAATATCCAAGGAACGTTTATAACATAAAATAACATCTTCAAATCTGTTTTCATACGCAAGTTGAATTCCCCATTGACCTGAGAAATAGATACTTGCAAATTCGTATATGATAGAAAAATATTACACATAAAAGATAGAAACATACAAAGTACGTCAACAAATGCTTCTTCAATTTCTGATCTCTTTGCAGGGCACAATTCTGCTACAACTGTATAATATGCATATGCCTTCCCCACATTTCCAGTACGATCATGGTCATAAGCTTTTTGCAAAGACTTTGTAACTATGTCATCTACTTCTTTTTGCATTTTTGATGATATGTGAGATCTTCCTTGATGTATATTTATCATGGAAAAGCATACCCTTTACTACTATTTACAATCAACTGCCTAAGTTTGTGAAATTTGTCGTGAGTAACGATACATCAACAAAACATAAAAATATCAATATACACGTTAAACCTAGGAGATTACGAAGATGTACAATCAGTTTTACATGAAAATCTTTTTCATTAAATTTATGAAACTACACTTAAAAATTGCTAGAAAATAATATCATTTATTGATACATTATATGCTAAATACAGCTTGTACACTCAAGAGCAAATTTGGCTTCCCTAGGGAAAATGGCAGCCAGGAGGACCTGGTTCGACCCTGGTCCCTACAACACCATCACATATGTAATGTCCCTACTCATTTGATTAGTTCCTACCTTCCACCGCTAGAAGCCAAAGCATTTTTAAATCCGTAAATTACAATTAAAAAATTTTCGAATATAAAGATTCGAGCCCACCGTGAAGTCAATTCTCTTACTTTATTGTTCCCGTAGAACAATTTACAAACGTGATTAAATAATAAAAATGCCTCATTTTACGAAAAAATGTAATTTGTATTTTTCGGTAGTTTCTCGTTTGATCGGTAGACGGTGCAAGTGATACTATTTTCGGCCAACGCGCGTTCAAATATAAATTTCGAAATGCGTGTACGAATGAAACTTCTAAATACTTTTATCTCTTTATTACTTTACAATAAACTACTCTCTTTTATATATTTTTTTATATGTTAAATTGCCACGATAGCTCTAATATAATTCATAGAATCGCTTTCCTGAAACGTAAGTTATGCAATAACACAGACTGCTGTTAAAGGTAAGTGTATACTCAGAAAAATTTCTAAGTAATTTCTAACAACTTACAATTTATTTCGAATAAAAAATGAATATACTCTTATTATACTCAAAATATAAACAGTTAATATACAGTTAATATCTTAATATACATTTAATAAATTAGAAGTTAAATTATTTATTATCATCTGGAATCCTGTGTAAATTTTTTATTTGATAACCTATGGCTTTTTGCTTGTTCTTTATCGGTTGATCGGACGGGTGATTGAAATTCTAAAAATACTCGTTTGGAACTATTATTCAGCACAATTGGAGATAAACTTGATGGTTCACCATAATGTTTTAATTTTTCAAGTCGTTCTTGAACCGTAATGGGCTTTCCTGATTGGTTACTCAGTAAACATCTTGTATGTTCTTGAGAGATATCATTAATATACTTTTTATCAAAACTAAGATTTTCATTTGATTTATATTGTATGTGGGAATCTGACATTCTTGTCACTGGTTTCTTTTGTACTTCTTTTGAAATTTCTTCAGCACATGTTGTTATATATGTACTAGTATCCTTGATCAAATGTTTCAAATCTTCAAACGGTCGTTGAAGATAATTTTGCCGAGGATTACGAGTAAATGTACTTCGTTCCGTACAATACGTCATCGGTATTCTCCACATTGTGGCTCTTCGCCATTCTAAATTACTACAAGCAATAAATGATCCTACTGTCAAAATTTCTGAATATCCATGAGAGTCTATGCCATGCCAAAACAATATCGATATGTACGACGACTGAGAATTTGCATCCGGATATGCCAAATATACAGCTTCAAAATGTTTCATACCCTATGGAAATATCAAAGCAAATAATATTTAACTTTTTAAATACATAAAAAGTTTCAACAAAAGTCAGCCACGTAGCAATGAAATAGATGAGTAACTTACATATGGTTCATTTCCAATACTGACAATAATTCCTACTGTATCGAGTTCTCCGAAAATTGGAGCAAATGTGGGTTTATTTACATCACACAATGGTGTATATGTTCTTTTAGGATAAGATATGTTAGAAACATTTATTTGTTTAAATACTGTACTCCGACTTGCACTTAATTGAAGCTCATTATTTCTGTCATAGTGGATTATATTAGATAACATTTGAATTATAATTAAATATGTTATAGTAATATTAATAATATAACCAATACCTTTTTCCCAAAGGAACGATGTTACAAACTGATATGAAATTCCCTTCTTTTAAAATATCCACAATTTCTTCACTAGGTGACCAGATTGTGAGAACTGCATTTGTATCTTCTTCAAATACTCGAACTTTTAATAGAGGTGTAACTTGCCGTGGAGCAGGTAAAATTTCTTGTAATTGTGATTCCAGTTTTTGTCTAAATTGCTCTTCTTTTACACGGTACCTATCTTTTAATTGTTCCAATTCCTGCAATCAGGGAATAAAATGTAAAATACAAAATATAAGAATACAAATTTAATTGTTTTCATTTAATACCTCTCTTCCACAATCTTCACTCCAGTCAATTGTTGCTAAATCTGGACTATCTGCATCTAAAGAACGTTTTTTAGCTCCACTAGAAAAACATTTCTCTGCTTTAGCATAAAATGCTTCTATGGTTGATCTACATTTTTTTTCATAAGCGATATTCGCTTTTTCTTCGCATCTTGCATTACGAGTAACTGAAATTATAGGACATAGAAGTATTAGTGTAATTACTAACTTTAAAATTATTTAAACTGTATAGCTTACTGGATTCCCCTGTTGAAGTTTTCTCACGATATAACATTGGATATACTCTTGTAATCAGAACTTTAATTTTGCCAATTAGTCCACCATTTGGATTAACAGTTCTTAATTTAATGCACAAAGGTCCTGAAGGTACTATGTATCCTAATCTTGTATCCCATCGTGCTCTTCTAGTTGAATTTGTATGTAGCTTTAAACAGACATTACTTGGAACCTATAAATTATTAATTAATAATTTTATATAAATTAATTATTTTTCATATAAAATTAAAAATAATATTTTAAGATATAATTACTTCCAAAGGTGAACATCCTTGTTCACAGTTTAATAACTCAGATCCATATGTTACTAATTTTGTACCTTCTTTTACTTTTCCAGATATTATATTTGTAACCATTGCGTGATCAATGTCAGCTTGAATACTATACCAACCATCTGTTACCATTACTTTTTTTGGCGCTTTTAATAAAGAACCATTTATAATAGCACAGTCATCATGCTATAAAGAGAAATATAAAGATTTTATTGACTTCTAATTTTTAATTTATAACATGTTTCTATATATAATAAAAGTCAAATTAAATTACCCCAGTAATAGATTCTACACACAAAACCATTCTCTTTGATGCAACATCGTCTTTTTCTAAAATTTTTCTTATGGCCGATCTTTGAGATCTATCAATTTCTCGATCATAACGGTATTTTAATTCCATCATGACTCTAGCAGGCGTCAATGCTCTAAAAAGGAATCCCTTTTTGTAAATAATATGAAATTTATATCTCTGGCACTATTAGTATAATCGCTTTTACCGTGGTAAAGTAATAGACCCTATCTTTATTCTATCCATTGACGCCAATTTCCATACAATCCATTTATAATGGTTTTCAACCCAACCATCACAAAGCAAACTAGGATCCACACCTGGACTTGCCAGAAAAGATCTTTTAATCTCTGTTATTCCTACATATCCATTTTCATCCAAAATTAAGTAAGCTCCATCTTCTAACTTTATACCTTCAATATTATTTTGTACAACATCTTGTCTAAACATTATATACAAAATGCATAAGCAATTTACTTGTAAATGTAGAAAGAAATAATAAAAATGTATCTCACCCATAAAAATCTGTACATCGAAATTTAAATGTTATTGCATTATGAGCTGTTATATCAAGTATTTCAAGTGGTAATTTTCGTTCTGTAAGCTAATAACAAAAATAAAAAAATGTAATATAATTTATCAATGTAAGACTCAATACAATTTCTGTTTTATTATTACCTCTTTACTTGTACACAGTACTGGTTTATTTCCTTTACTAATTTCTTTCCATGATAAACGATTTTTATTATTGGTTTTCCTATACAAATATAATGTCCCTATCATTGGTTTAGGTTTACATCTCTCCTTTAAAATAATTTGTTTATCCTAAAAAAATATCAATACAAATCCAAATTATAATTCCAAATGTTTTACCCTGTATTAATATTCATTATTGTTGGAGAATCAAATACAACTTACTTGTTCCAAAGTAGCTTGAAAACGTTTTTCTAAAATATCTTCAGACTGATTTATGAATTCTAACATTAATTGAGTATCATTAAATTCATTGGTAACTGCAATATCACATGTATTTGTTTTATTCATTGATTCTTCCTTTTTTATTGTACACTTATTTATGAAGTCATTTGAATTTACACAATCATCATTTAACTGATTTATGGTATTTGCACATAGATGCTTATTCTCCATGTTCTTTACAGCATTTGTACTTTTTCTTTTATTATTTACATTTTTTCGTTTTTTAGGAATAAATTGTCCTCCTATTACAGGACTAGATGGTACATTTAAAGTATCTTCACTTTCTTTGCTTTTTACAGGAGTAACCCATTCATCAAAAGCATCTTTTTCATCAGCTAAGAGCGCAACAGTACTAGCTTCAATTTCATGAGAAATTAAAGAATTAAGGGATTTATTGTTTCCTTCAATGTTATTTTCATTTGTTTCAGTTATTTGATTATTATTTATTGACTTATTGGCATCACAATCTAAAATTAAAACTTTTGATGGTACTGATGTCACATTTTGATTTTCCTTTTCTTCTGCATTAATTGAATTGTTGCAAATAGGTGTTTGAACTTGAAATTCATTACTAAATCGTAATTTTTTAAAGTGATTAGTTGATTTCACTTTATTAAAAGACATCTCATCATTATCTACATCTTTAATTTTACGTTTAGGTAGTGATTTAGTTAATGGAGGTGATTTTTCCAAATCTTCCATCATATCTTCAGAAAATAATGCATTTGATTTCAATAAGGCTTCTTTTGTGACATTTATAGATTGTCCACTTGCAGTCTGAAATTCAATATTTTGTAATTCATGTTTAACAGTATCTTTCTCACTTGCACATGTTTCTTTGAATTTCTCTGTAATTCTTGTACTTAAAGATTTATGTTTCATTATGTTATGTAAATTATCATTATCAATTTTTAAAGCATTTGAACACGTATTGTCAGTACTTTCTATAATACTTTCAGAAAGCATTGCATGTGCTTTTTGTAATGCTTGTTCTGTTACTTTCAAACGTTTACCACTTGCAGTCTTAAATCCATTATTTATTATAAATGCATTATCTTTGTTACTTTCTTTTTTCATTGTACTTTCAGATTGTTGTTCTACCTTTACTAAATCTTCATCAAAAATAGTATCTAAATTACATCTGGCAGTTTTGTAATTAATTGAGGGTCTGATATTTTGTGCATTTTCTGTCATTTCACTTGACAGTAATGTTTCTGCTTTTAATAACGCTTCGTTTGTTACGTTAATACTTTTGCCACTTGCTGTTTGAAATCCAACATTTGATAACTGTACATGAGACTCATTAATATTTGTTTCAACTTTACTAACTTCTTCATGACTGCTTGTTTCTTTCAATTCTTCTATAAACAAGTTCTTTGCTTTTAATAAAGCTTTCTCAGAAACATTAATAGCACTGCCACTGGCAGTAGTAAAACCAAAGGAAAATCCCTCATTTTTATTGTCAATATCCATGACTGTTAAATTTTTATAATACACGTGATTATTCTCATTGAATTAGTTTATTTCTAAGACACGTTGATATTGTAAATCATTTATTCATTCGGGCTGTCTTACATCTCATGCTGTTTTTCATTACGCAAATTGCGGGTTTCAGTACTAACATGGTTCTGATAGCTAATGTGTCAAAACCTGCCATCTATGTTTACAGGTATTGAACAGAATCGATTGGTTATATTATAAATTACATGTTGAATTGAGATTCTTACTTTCAGAAGCAAGCTGCTTCATTTTGTAACAAAATATAAGTACTAACTTATTAAAAAGTAATTAATTTAAAATGTTCAAAGTACTTTGTAAGCTTCATTTTTACATGTTCTATAAGATTTATATCAACGCGCGCTAAATACAGTACTACTAACGCCAACTAGCGTAAATATACTTTTAACAAAATCAATAAAAATATTATGAACGCGTAGAAGTATTTTTAGATAAATGGCAAAGTGATTCTAGGTTATGTAAGATAGATTTTAAGAAGCATGAAATGCATAAAAGGAAAATTAAACAGAACACGTATGTTATAATACAGTTCTCTTTACTTTATTGATATTTTTGTAATTTAATAATTGTGCTTTAACTAGTATTTATATGTTAATTTCTGTGAAGTTTGACTTTTTGTTCACAAAGGAATGTGTTGATATATATTTAATCCATTCTTACATAGGATAAAAACTCCTGAGAATTTACCAAAGTTAAAAAATTATAAAGTTCACGAAAATGAATCAAATGATTTTCAATTACCAAGTTTACAACAAAAGAAAAAAGCTTGGAAAGATGTTGATGAGAATGGATCAACTTGGGATCAAACCAGCACGATAACATGTACATCTTATTCATCAGAAATTGAGAATCTTACAACGAAGAAAGTTTTACAACAATGGGAAGGTGTTGAAAACACACTTTATGAAGATGGAGAACAAGTTACCCAAACGGCTGTTTTGGAAGAATGTATACAATGGAGAACACAAATACCTCATTTAAGAATAGTTGGTAGAAATCCATTTTTAGCGACTAAAACTAAATGTGGAGATTTCAATATAAATAGTAATTTTGATTTTCAAAATGAAGAAGCAGTATCAGAGCATAGTCTTCAATTAAAGGTAAAAAATACCTAATAGTTATATTTGTGAAGCATATTATTTGCTGAAAGATATCAGTAATTAATAAAATTTACGAAGTATCCACTTAATTATGTTCACAATTATATATTTTAACAATTTTAATAAAAAGATCCCAATTAAAAAGTCAAATGGATAATATATTATTTATAGGAAAGGAAAAGTTCATGCAAGCATAAATCACGAAAAACTCATCAGGATGAGATATTTAATATACTTTACGAATATGTAATATCTGAATTATTTCCAAATAAAGAAAGTGAAACCGATTTGTTATGTGATGATTTCAATGATGCTTTGCAAATACGCATGGCACCTGTTCACAGCAGTAAAAGTGTGGTAAAAAGTGCAAATTTGAATTGGTTCGAAGAAACAATTTCTCTTGAAAACCGATTTCCAAATAGTAGATGTAAAGTGTTAGAAGATCACTCTACATTGATACAAAAGGAAACACCTCGAACAAATATTCAAGAAATTCAAAAGTATGTGTGCAATCTATTGTAGAAAATAAAAGAATTTTAATAATATTAGAAATATATTTATAACTTGTGTTTGTTTGTAGAAGATATAATAATGATAGGATAAAAAGTGAATTGGATATTATAGAAGATAAACTTTCTAGACCACACACTAGTAGAAATAAACTTGGAACAGTCTTTAATGAAAAGATTGTAGTTAGTCCTGTACCTTATGTTTTATCAACAAGGGAAAGTTTCTCTACTGTAAAAACCACGCCAATTAAGTTTATGGCACAGTCTCTAAATGTTTCTTCTTTCCAAGGCATGTTAAATACTTGTTTAATATTATACATCATTTATGAAATGTATAAAATATTTTTAGTGTTAATATTATTTTGTGTTAGGCTCAAATAGATATGTTCCTTTTAAATATTCAGGAAAAAACTCAACTTTGTCAAAAACTTCAAATTATCAATCTACTTGGCATAATTCTGTTTCTTCTGCTATGTGGCCAAAAAATGTGAAGCTTGCTCCATTAGATACTTCAAGATTTTCTAATAGCAAAAACAGGTAAACTGTTCAAATACAGTAAAGAAAAAATGCTGTCTATTTTGTGTCTATTAATACTACTTTTTTATTATATTTATAATTTTAGATCTCTAACATCATCGTCGGTAACATCGCTTCGTAACAGAAGACCTTTAAGTCCTATTTCTCGATCTACTCTTCCTGTTTCTGCACAAACTACTCATAATAATAATGAAGGTCTGGAAATTCAAGGAAAGCATATGACCCCTGGACAATCTCTTAAGTTAAGTATACCGGGTACTATCAGGGATAATAATCCTGGGAGCAGTAAAAGTAAAAGAAAGAAAAACCACCTAAAACTAAAATCATAACAAATTGCAGCTAATTGGTTAGCTAAGAAAGTCGATCTTAAAAATTCTATAAAAATTTTTTGTTACCTTGTGAAAACATATGGGACCAGGATATGGAAGATTGATTTTGATTATGTGAGGAAAGAATTTCATTTTATATTTATTTATTTTTCTAAGATAAAAATTGATAACTATGTTTGTGATATAAAGGTGATATGTTATAGATATTTTATTATTTATTATTAAATAATTTTTGAACATGGTGGTTCATAAATTTAAGCATCCATAACGAAAAAGACGAACACCATACAAGGTGTTAATAAAAATCAAAAAATCCATTAGCATTTTGGTATTTACGATTTGAGTGTATTTCTTTTGAAATACTCTGTGTATGAATAAATACACACATATATTGTTATTGTTAATGATAAGGAACTTCAATATGTCGCAGTATTAAAATGTACTTTAATTGTACAATGTTCTATGCTATAGAGAATATATATATACTCTCTTAAAGGTAATAGGGAATTAGTGTTCCAAGAGTAAAAATGTGTAATTTAAATGCTCATGTTGTTCAATAGATGATATACTGTTGTGACTATGTCTACCTCACTGAATGTTGTACGTTGTTTAATTAACGCACATGCTTGTATGCGCAAGTAAATATATTTTTGTAATGCACACATTTGTAATGAATGTGCTTGTTATAAATATACAAGTGATATGTGTATAAATATTTTCTTATTTATATATATCTCTTAATATTGGTTCATGATATTTAATCAATGGGGCTACTGGATATATCAATCAATGATCTAGATCAATTCAGTTGTTTCTGGCATTGATTATAATCAACGAGAAAAATACTTACCTAGATTGTATCTAGTGCACAGCATAAAAGACTTTTGTTGCAATGCTTCATGAATTACTTCTTTGAATCAACCACTGGAATTTTTCACCTTGTTACTTATCGTCGTAACGTGAAATCTAGCACTATTTCCCACCAAAATTTATTTGTGTTTTCTGTAATCACTACATATAGTAGCAGATAAAAACAGGTAAGGGAATCAGAAAGTAAGAGTTTGAAAAATCATTACTTCAAATAGTCATTAATCAATTGTAAACAAATTTTAGTTTAAATAATTAATAGTAACTGCTAATGTTTAAATTAATAATTACTTGCAAGCTTTATATACTAGTGGCAATTAATTTATAAATGTATTTTTTAGAATTATTGGAAGCATATTTATTTATTATAAATAATTTTATATATAATGGTACAACTGTATCAAATTATAAATTCGTGTAGTGTTTCATCATACTTGAGATAATAGAATAGTAATTTTATTTCTATTATATTTGCGTAATATAAATGCACTCTTAATTCTTTTGATTATTATAAATAATAAAACAATTTTAACGCTGTTTTATCAAATTCAATAAAACTGTTCTAAGATATACATATTTTTCTAACAGATACAAAATTTATATAATGTAATTAGCATTTGAATAACAAAACTCAAATAACTGTAACTCAGTTTTGTAAAACATTTATTCAATATATAACAATGTTTAGATTACTGTGTACCTAGGTTCTCAAAGGAACATTTATGTATTGAAAAAATAATATCTAATGGAATAGTCTAACTTGTACATTGGGTCAGCTTTGCTGTACTGTTTCTGTCACTGTCTCAGTGATTTACAGTTTAAGAATTAATTTAAATAATGCAAGACTATATAGTCAAGATTTGCATATTGAAAATGCAATATTGAGAGATCTATGAAGATTTGTAATAGTTTTGATAGTAACTTTTTAGTATACTGTTTCTCATCACTATTTGTATTCAACAACTACTATATTATTGTTGATGCATCAATATGACATATTCTTTATTAATGGTAACAAACATGTGAACTTCAACAAAATTTTTGTTAGGGTAATAGTAAAATTTTGTTTAGAAACACATGTTGACTCGTTCACTTTCCTTTTATAAATTTTTAAATAATTTCTATGATGTACAATGACTTCTTCTAAGAATCTGTTCCGTTATATATGTTGTACTGCAACAAAGTGGAACAGTAAAAATTAAATATATACAGATAAGGTATTCCAAAAATAAGCAGCAGGTCGAAATATGCAAAATTCTTCTACTAAGGGAGAACGAGGAATGCTTACTCATTTTGCAGTTCATAGCTTCTAACTATATCAAAATAATTATTACTATTTATAAAGAATGAAATAAATGCAATAAGTTTAACTAAACCTATATGTATTATTATTATGACTTGCATGATAAAATGTAAACCCAATTACTTTAAGTTTAAGCTCTTGCTTAAAGAGTTCCATTACACCAGGATTTCTTGTTTATATTTTATGAAGCCGTAAACTGCAAAATGATTAAAAACTTTGTAACTTATTTTGACTTATTTATGTTTTTATACTATGCATAGTTTACATGTTTTGATATGCTGGTCACTTTTGGCATGTTTCTGAGACTTAAAAAAGAGCAGTGGAGTTTAAACTGCAGTTTTTCTAATCTGTTGTTGACTATCTTGATGTTTCCAGTTCATTAGTTCATCTAAAACTTCAACTAGTAAAGGATTTCCACCTAAACGTTGGACTTCATCCCTAGCTTTTTTATCTAGTTCTTCAAGTACATTTCTTGTATAAGCAAAAGATCCAAATTTTTCTAGTAAATTTACGCAGTACCGTTTTACTTCAATATCCTTAGTCCGTTGTCTTAGTATATCTGTTAGTAATTATTAAGGAATAAATCAACTCAAATAATGTAAATAAGATTTTCCATTTCCGAATAAAGGATACTCATTATTTGTCTATCTTCTAAATGACTTTGTACAGCATGGATAATAGGAAAACTAAATTTTCCTTCAGACAGATCTTCACAGTAACTTTTATTTTCTGCATACTGTAAAAATTTTTTACATGATTTTTGACACATGAAAGAATGGAGAAATTTGGATCTAAGAACTTACCTCTTGAAGATATAAATTACAATAATCATCTCGAATTTGAAAATAGAGTCCTAAAATTCCTGCTAAAGCAGTATAGTCTTCTTTGCAATCAGAAAATAATTGCATTAATCGCACAGCTAAATTAAAAAGTCCACCTGTCTCTGTAATTTATTATTTCATATTAAATAATACCAAAGACATTTTAATAAAAGAAAAAAAGCATATATTAATGAAATGTGCAATTCCACAACCACTGTGCTAAACGTACTTCGAATTGTCATCTGCTTATATGCAGATTCAGATGGGCATATATAATTATCTCTCCAATAAATTTCCATACCTTGTCCCCTATGGAGTTCCAATAATTGTTCTACATATACTTGAGTAGCCTGGTATAAAATAAAATAATGTTAAAAACAAAATTTACAAAGGAGTATAGAATTTTATGAGAAATTCTTTACCTCTGGATGATTTAAAGCAAGTACTCTTTCTAATGCAATAAATATTACATAATTTGCAGCATTTATTGTACTGGCTGTCCCATAAATATTATGAGCTACTGGGATACCCCTTCTTAAAACTGAATTATCTTGAATATCATCAATTCTATAAAAATGTCATTAATTAATTTTAATAAGGAGAACCTTAGGCAATCAACATGTATTGTTAATATTATTGAATGTGTAAAGGAAGATATTGACATACTGTCAATGTGGAAACTATAGTAATAGAAAACTTGAAGCATTTCAATGATCTTTCAGTGACTAAGAACCATGGAACTCCATGGAACTAATGATCCTCTTTTCTCAATTTAAAGTCTAATTATATTAAGTTTCAAGATAACTGATTCTACTAAATTTAAGTTCATTGAAAAGTGTGTTAGTTATATAAAAATAATAATGAAAATCTTCTGAAATGATATATTGTCAAATATTGAACATGTGAGAGAAGCATAGTTTCTTAAATAAACATTGACAGTACTGATCATATATATTGATGATTTAAGATCCCCTGTACGTGTTCATGATAAATGATACTGAAAATTAAAATAGATTAAAATATAAACTAACAATAAACTAGAAGTATGAAGTATTTGTACTATGTCTCCAACTGCACGCAGTTTATCTTGTGATATTTTTAACCAATAATTAAAGGCATGTGCCAACTTGGCTCTAATTTGTTTTCCAGGAACTTGGAGAATATAGGTAAATGGTTCCAACAGTATCTATAAAAAAAAAAGTATATTTTTCATTAAGTAACAAATGTACGTGATAACGTTCATTATTGTCACTTTGACAGGTTTCTTAACCTCAAATTAATCTCTATCATACCCCAACGAAAACTAACCTTATCCTCTTCCTTATCACCGCTCCGAGAAAAAGGTATATTCTTACTCTGATCCATAATGAATTATATTACAAGTAATACCGGTAACACACCGGCAATTGCAATTACTTTGGTAAACTGAACTGAGAAATCAATTGGAAGCGAATTATATACCCACACTTAAACGAGCATGACAGCCGACTTGGTCGGTGTGTCATATCGTCTGCTACATGATTAGTAGAAATCAATACGTATTTATATGTATGTAGCATGTAGATAAAAATTGTTACATATTCATCGTGATGTTTATGTATTAATTTTTTTCGAAGATGCAGATGTTAGAAGCTGAACTTAGAACTAATTCAGGTATTAATTATTGCAATTACAGACTATTGAATTAATTAGGTCTGTTTGATTGAGGCGCTCCGCGCCTAACCTAACAATGTTGAGCGAGCGAGTAAATTTCGCGCTAAAGCAAAAATAGTCAACCGTGTCATCCGGTTGAATTGGTTGAGTGGTGCAAGAGAAAAACGTGGATAAAAAAGTTGAAAAGTCAAGTACATAAGCGCGAACAAATTCAATTTTGCATTACAGTCTACGGGGATATGGTTTTTCAGTGATTATTCCTCAGTCTTTTTCGGTAATTATTCCTCCGTGGCATGCGCGGGCGGCGCGCAGGAGGAATATACACGATAGTGAGTGTGCGAAATCGCTAATTACTCACTTTCTAAGCACAGTCTATGAACTTTTATGATTAAAGAATGATCAGTGATTCCCTAGCCACTTTCTTAGATCATATATGTTCACATTTTTATTGTAAATAATTAGTTATTAATTAATATCCAACACGAAGTCGGTGGAATACATCGTACGCATGAGCTAATTTGAAATAATTAATAACACATTTTCTAAACACAATTTATGCACTTTTATTATAAAAGAATGTTCAGTGATCCCTCAGCTACTTTCTCGTATCATATTTGTTCAGATTTTTAATGAAATTAATTAGTTATTAAGTAATAAACTAAGGCCAGCCACGGTGACAAGCGGTATACACGAGGTCATTTTGAATAATTAATTACACGTTTTGTGGATATATTTTGTACACTTTTATGATTGAAGAATGGCCAGCAATGCATTATTTACATAGTTCGATCATAAAAGTTCATAAATAATGTTCGGATAATGAGTGATTAATTATTTTGTGTCAGCATTACGACACGTACATGAGCCACCGGTGTCAATACTACTGCGCATGCAAAGTGCAATATTTCGGCACTTTGACGACGTAGTATGGTTCCGGAGGCATTTAGAAACAAATTTCTATTAGGGTTTGATGCGTTTTGATGCCTAATAAAGCCAGGAAATCAATTTTTGTCGAATTCGGTCCAAAACGGTACAGGTGGCGCCATCTAGCG